ATTCAATGAAATCCCTGTCAAAATACCACTAATACTGTTCACAGGAAAAGAAAAAAAATCCTAAAATATGTATGGAACCACAAAAGAGCAAATAAGCAAAATAACCTCCAACAACAAAGCTAGAGGTATCATACAACTTGACTTCAAAATATACTACAAAGCTAGAGTGATCAAAAAAAGCATTATTTTGGCATAAAAACAGATACTTAGACCAATAGAACAGAATAGAGCCCAGGATAAATCCACGCATTCACAGCCAACTAATTTCCCACAAAGATGCTAAGAATTCACATGGGAGAGGACAATCTCTTTTTTAACTGGGGCTGGAAGAAGTGTATAGTCATATGCAGAAGGATACAGGGAGATCCTGTCCTCCCATCATCTGCAAACATCAACTCATAATAGATTAAAGATCTGATTGCAAGACCCATAAACAATGAAACTTTTAGAAGAAAACTAGTGGGGGAAAACACATGGGCAATATTTTATGACATTGGTCTGGGCAAGGATTTTTGTGGCTCAGGGCTCAAAAACAGGCAAAAAAACCCCAAAAACAGACCAATGGAGTTATACAAACTACTAACTCATTTTAGCTGAACTAAACCTCCCAGAGAGAAACCGTAAGTTAGGGATTATACTAATTATAAGGTAGGGATTGTACTCCCTTACCCATGGGAGACAGGCCCCGAGACCCCTGGTGGATGCTGAAACCCCAGGGTGATATCCAGCCTATCATTTGGTGCCCTTTCCACCTTAACTCAGCACTTAGCATGCTCTGTGGCTGTGACTTCCACGGTGTGAGGTGCGACAGCAAACCCAGCATGAGTTTCCTTTTCATTCTTCACAATTTCAGACTTTGCAGGTTGCAAACTGGTTCTTACTCTGGACCTTCCTTAAGTCAGGAACTTTCATGTCTTCACTTAACACCTGCAGGCTTCTCTTTGGCTCCTATGACCAGTCAGCATAACTACTCCTGTGCCTCAGGGCTTTCATTAAGTAGAGTCAGGGTTACCTGAGCACAAGCTCTTGGACATCACTGATCTGCCGAGTGAGGTATCGTTCATTCTCAGAACAATGCAAGTTTAAAACTTATGAATTTTTTGGAATGTTTAAAATCTACAATTTTATTACCGTAGAAGACACATTGCCATGAATCCCCCTCAAAATATTTCTCCTCACTTCAAACACACTTAGCTCATTGTTCTTGACACTTTCCTTTTTTCTGGTTTTCATTTTTCTATATTTTTTACTTGTATATGTTTGCTATATATAAAATAACTGCATGCATCTGGGGAACTGGTACATATACATGTGGCATGTAATCCTTTTTACCTCCCCTCTCCACCCTCCCATCTCCCTCTTCGCCCCAGTTTTCATCTAATATTTTTATGCCACAGTTAACAATAGGAAACAAACCACCGAAAGCAAAGTCAAAAACAAGAGGGGGCCACTGTGTGGCCCCTCAAACTCAGCAGACAGTGCCTGCTTGCAAGGCCCAAGTGACATTTCTGTGCAGGAAACAACACAGGATGAACAGAGCGTGCAGTCTTGGGGTGAGGCCCTGCTGGCTCTTTCCTCCCCAGGTTGTCAGAGAGGCCCCGTGTTAAGACCCAGGACAGGAAGTTCAGAGCAGGCTGGAAGAGGGCAGAGATGCCTGAGCAAGAATGAAAGGGTTGTTTGCTGCAGTGACGCAATTTGCCCATCTGACCAACAAAGGAGGTACCTCAGGCAGGGTGTTGAGAACACGCTCAAGCGAACAAGCAGCACACCAGGAACTACAGATTCTCAGTTGGCCCACAGTCGGTTGAGTGATCGGATGGCCAGGGGCAGCCTTGAGCACCAAAGGACAGCTGTAGCCACTGGCTCCTGCATGCATTTGGAGAAACAGATGAACTGTCACTTACTTGATGGACGGGGGCACAGCCGGGCCCTACCTTCTCCTCTATTGATAACCACCATTCTTCCGCAAATGGAAGGCCTCTGCATTTACCTTTTCAAGGAGAAAGTAGCCCTTGGTGTGGCCATCAGACCCCCTTACTAATATCAAGGACCAAGCCAGCTAATTGGGGTAAACTTGGGCCAACTCTAGAGAGTGACTTCAGCTATCCAATTATCCAGGCAAGCAACACTTAATAAATAATCGTATCTATGATAAAATAATATCAATGATCCATGATAAAACAGAGCCAGGACACTTGTACCTATTTAAATAAATCTCCTAGCTGTTGCTAATATACAGTTGCTGTATCCTAAAACAGGACTGCTGAATCAACAAGGTTCTCACACACGCTCTTCCCAGGAAATACTTCTCCTTGGGCCCATCTGCAGTGTGGGTGAGAGGAAGCCCAAGGCTCCGGGGCCTGGGTGACCGCCTCCTGCGTGAGCTCACGGTCCCTGACTGGGTTGGGACATTGAGAAGGCTGTGCCTTGGTGAGAGTCTCTTCCCTGGGTAGAGGAGGGAGAGTCTCTGTCCCCTTCCTGAAAATTGCTGGTTTCTGCAGGGACAGCCCAATTCCATGTCTCGCTGTTGTGACTAGTGGTAAGAGAAAAATGGAGTGTGATCCACATCAGTCCCTTTCTCCCAGGAAAATTCCTTTATCCTACCCAGTAACAAGACCACATTAAGCTTGTGACAAGTTGTCACAACAAACTTAGTCATCAATCGCACTGGCTTTCATTTTTTCCTTTTTCCTTTATTGCTGCATTTTAGGTATACAATACTGTTACAGTCAACATTGGGATCTTGTACCTTTACATGACAGATCTTGGCTCTTTTTTTCCCCCCATTCCTCTGCCCTCTCTTCATCTCCTCCACCCTTCCCTGTTTACAGAAATTTTGTTTCCATTTTTTCTTTTCCCTTCTTAGCTTTCCCCTCCCCCTCCCACTTCCCCTACACCTTTAGACATTTCTCCTGTTACACAGTATCAATTATGCATTTTGATTCTTATTTACACTTTTAGTTTATCACACCTGAGAAACTATTTGGTATTTACACATGCATGTCCCATTAATTTCACTAAAGAGTCTGACCTCAATATGCATCCACTTAGCTATAAATCTCTTTAGTTTCTTGTTCTTTGAGGCTAAGTAGTATCCCATTTTATAAAAAAAAAAGTCACGGTGGTATGATTCTTTTAATTCTTTTGGGAAGACACCCAGCAGAGGAACTGCTGGGTCAAATGGGACTTCTAATCCTAAGTGTTTCAGGTATCTCCATATTGATTTCCACAGTGATTGCACCAGTCTGAACTCCCACCAACAATGGAGAAGGGTTCCTTTCTCCCCACAGCCCTGCCAGGATTTGTTACTGGTTGATTTCTTAATAGCAGCCATTCTCTCTGGAGTGAGGTGGAATCTCAGTGTTGTTTTCATCTGCATCTCTAGAATGACCAGTGATGTTGAAATTTTTTCTTATGTTTATTTGCTCCTTTTACTTCTTTGAGAAATATCTGTTCATTTCAGTTGCCCATTTTTGAATTGGGTTTATAAATTTGGTGGGTCTGATTTTTTTTTTAGTTCTTAATATATTCAGGATAGTAGACCTTTGTCAGAGAAACAGCTGGTAAAATTTGTTTCTCACATTGTAGGTTGTCTCTTAGCTCTGTTGATGGTTTCTCTTGCAGTGCAGAAGCTTTTTAATAAGATGAGATCCCAGTTGTTGATTCTTTCTGCTAGTTCGCATGCTATTGAGGATTAGTTCATGAAGTCTTTGCCTATGTCAATATCTCCAAGAGCTCCGCCTAACTTATCTTCCAGCAAGTTTACAGTTTCTCTTATAATATTTAGATCTTTAATCCACTTGGATTTTAGTTTAGTGCATAGTGAAAATTGGCTTTTATTTTGATTCATGAATCAGGGCAGCCTCATTCTATAAAACAGATAAAAGCTCCTACTGGACAATGGCAGAACAGTGGGTCTTGTAAGGTGGGAACAAGGAAAAATAATGATAGAAAAAAAAGACCCTGATTGTGACAGCTGGTTACTTTATTTCAGGTAAGGGCTAAAGTAGAGGACCTTCCTTATTATTTTAGCTCAAGTAGACTAGAATGTCCTGTTTCCTGGAAACGCTGTCCTAATTCTGGGGTCTGTCTGTTACCCTAAAGTTTCAGTTTGATAGTGGGGTATTTGGCATGAGTGGCATTTTGGTCTGGTCTGGTCAAACAACACTCTCCATCATTATGTTTAAGATGTTGCTTACACAACAGGCCAAAAGCCCCTCAGGTGGGACAGGTGGAGGAGCTGTGACTCTTTTGCAATGGATGTGTTCCTTGAGGGAAGACATAATTTATAGGACTCCAGAGAAGTACCCCTTCCTTGGAAGAGAGGCTGGGAGGCCCTCTCTTCCTTCTCAAATTTGGCTTTCTTTTGTCTGCCACGCATTATTCCAGGATTGTGTAATGGCTGGTGCTTGCCCTGAGCAATTAAGGACCATGCCAAGTCCTTCCCTGTGTCTGAGTGCTCTCATTCTGACCTGTAGACACCTCTGACTTTGATCTGCTTTTTCTCATGGGTTAAATGAAAATTCAGTCTCACGTTTATGTAGATGGAGGAGGCCCATTCCTGGGATGGTCACACTTGTGACTTAATGTCCTTACATTCATGTTAAAAGGCTTCTGTTCTTAATGCTTCCGGGGGCCACATTGGGTGGCCTTCAAGGGACCTGGTTTGTGCAGGATTTGGCTCTTTGTCTTGGTGAGATCTCTTGAACACTGTTTTCCTATCCAAATCAGAATTAGTGATTTGTGGGCTGTAAAGATATTGAAGGACTGTCAGTTTTAAATTGGAAAAAAATTAGAGGTAGAAATCATTATTTCACAGGCAGTAGGCTCGTAAGAAATGCATACCAGCATCATAGCTGTGGGTTGTCCCCAGGGTGAAGCCAAGGGACATTTGCTGGGACATACTATGAAGGAGGGATGTTCCTCTTGGTCATCTGCCCCTCTCTCCAAGGAAGCTCTAGCATCTGTCTTTAATGGGTCTGTGTCCCCTTCTCTCCCAGCCTGTCACATTCTGGAATGCTGCGATGGGCTGGCCCAAGATGTCATTGGCTCCATAGGACAAGCCTTTGAGCTCCGGTTTAAGCAATACCTCCAGTGTCCTTCCAAGATTCCGGCTCTCCAGGATCGGTGAGTAGTGCTGCGACACCATTTGCAGTGGCCTCTGTAATTTATGACCTTTTCTTTATAAACCACCTTCCCCACTCTGTGCTATGGATGGACCCATCTCATCACAGAGCTTCCTGGGCTGACAGACACCTGCCTGGTGCTGGGATCAGCCCAGGAAACCACAGATGGAAGCCAACATCCTCTCTGAATGTGTAGAAAACAGTTTCTGGAAACTATAGTGACAGTAGCCAAGGTTACCAAAACGTGACTTCATTGTACTACTTTTTCATTCTATTTCTTCTGCATCAGTGTGATTTTCCCATATGTCACCCCTTTGGGTCTATCTTCACAGGTTCTGTGTGCCCCATGGTCCTTGTCATCACAGTTAGCTGAAGTCCTGCACTACAGGACTCCCACTGGTGCCAGTATTGTTTCTACTTTCCCGGCCTCTGTAGCCTCACAGCTTTGGAGCTTGTTTGCTTTGTGACCCTGAGAAAGTTCCTTAGTCTCTCTCAGTGTCAGAAGCTTCATCTGCAGAATAGGAATAATAGTGGATGGACAATTGTTTTAGGCGTTAAGTGAAATAGTGAATGTTAAAAGCAATTGTACAGTATTTAGTCATGTATAAAAACCATCCAGAGTCTACCTATGAAGTTTTCTGAGGACATAAGCATATTCCATAGAGCATAGGTCACTCGGTGTTCTGATTGAACATGGGTGCACTCTGTCCTGGAGGAACATGCACGCTGAAATCTATTACATCAATAAACAAAATTTTATTTCTCCTGGGCTTCTTTTTTACTTTTTTCTCAGTAGTAGGAATGGAACTCAGGGTCTTGCATGTGCTGGGAAAAGCACTCTACCACTGAGCTCCTTTTTACTCTTTATTCCCAGCTCCTTTTCACGCTTTTCAAACTTGTGAGGCCACAGCCCATGATGTAGTCATGAAATCCCCTTTGAACCCATTATTATGAAGCCTCCTTTCATTTCCCTTCTTCTCTGCAAAAAGAGACTTTTAATTTCTACGGAGAGACTTTTAATTTGTTTCTCTCATCTTCTGGAAAGTTCCTTTTAAGACATTCATTTGGAAAGTGCCTGAGAAGGACCTGCTTTTTCCGACTGATAGAAAGTTCAGCGAGCTGGGGCAGGGAGAGGTATGCCAAGGGGGTTAGGGGTAGGAAGTGGGCCTGAGGCCCCCCTGATGTGAGAATGAGTTAACAGACATCTTCACTCTGACTGCAATGGACAAAGAATTCACCAGTATGTATTTGTTACCAGGATAAATCTCGGAATTTACAGTGGGGTGGAAAGGAATAAGTTGCAAAAGGGTGGAAATTGTTTATGAACTTTTTGAAAAACTTCTATACAGTTTATAGATAAATAGATGTGTAGAAAAAAATATAAAACCAGAAGAATCCTGCACATCGACTTCAGAACATCTGAGCATGGGGCCGGGGTGTCAGGCAAGTGCTTGAGTTTGAAATGTATTTGTTGCCAACTGTATTTGCTTCAGATATTTTGGAATGAAAATGTTCTAGTGTCCACAAAGAATTCGACCAGTATCCAGCATGTAGATTCTACCATTAACATTTTATTATTCATATCATATATTTCCTTGTCCATCCAAAGTAAACGTGCTGTGATGTTCTATGTGGTTTTGCTTTTGCAATGTGGAGAAGCTATTTCTTTAAAAGCAAGGAAGCCAAAAAAAAAAAAAAAAA